GTGGTCAGATGATTGATTGAAGTTACTGACAATAACATTGTTGAATATATCGAACATATCAGATGCACATAATAATAATCAATGACACTTAGCCCTTGTGAACCAAAGTCATTGGCCAAACCTTTATAATGTCTTCCATTCAATATCCTCAATCCTTTAGATTTACAAATATTAATCAGTCTATTTACAAATTCGTTATGTCCCTTGTCTGGGGTGAAACGTGGAAGATCTGTGTCCGGGTTAGAGACAATCACTGAATCAATGTGATCTGTGAGAGAATTGCGCAGTGTATCGTTGCTTATGAAATCATTCTTGAGTTGAGTTCGGCTGTTGAAATCACCCAGAAGATGAATTTTGCCAATATTCATATAGTTTGCAGTTTCATTCTCGAGTTCGTAAAAAAGGTCAACATCATAGAATTTGTAGTAGGTTGAGTACTGTGGTGGTGGATAAGGCATAGAATATATCATTACCTGTGGATGTTACAGCTTTACCCAAACTTTAGTCATATTATTACGAGTGAGTGAGTGAGTTTAGTTTTACGTCACACTCAGCAATATTACAGCTATATGGCGGCGGTCTGTAAATAATCGAGTCTTGACCAGACAATACAGTGATCAACAGCATGAGCATCGATCTGCGCAATTGGGAACTGATGACATGTGTCAACCAAGTCAGCGAGCCTGACCACCCAATCCCGTTAGTCGCCTCTTACGACAAGCATGGGAATGAGGGTTCATTCTAACCCGGACCTTGACGGGTCAATATTATTAAGAGGTTATTATATGACTGTTTTCCTTTCGCCAGTCGTATCAGCCCGAGACTATCAGCCCCCTCGAAAACTGTCATGATGAGGTTATGACTCATATACCACCATATCTGTAAATATTGAAACAGTCCAAAAACAGTTTCAAATCACCTTCAGGTTTATCTTACGGTTTTGACATTCTTCATACTGTCGACCAATGACAAAGTATCTGTTTCAATAGAGAACCAGTCCTGTTCTGTAGTCCTGATGTCATCTGTGTTTTCACTATTCAAAATATTGTCTAACTCCATGATTCTGCCGACAAGAGCAGCCAAAACATCGTCGCTTTGATTAGAAATCATTCTTCAGCCATTTCTTCAGCAACTCGAGCAGGCCAAGCAAAGGACGTATTTCTAAAATAAAATAGGTTTCCTCTGTTAAGGTTTCGAGCGTTTTCGTGTATTCATTCCGTACCAGTTTAGTGGCTGGACAATACGGCGGATATGGATTTTGGGCCCTAGGGCTAATATGGATGATATGCATTTTCGGCCCTAGGGCTGATTGACCGATATGCATTTTCGGCCCTAGGGCTGATCAGTATGACTGATATACATTTTCAGCCCTAGGGCTGATATGGCTGATCTGCATTTTCGGTCCTAGGGCTGATCAGTATGACTGATATGCATTTTCGGCCCTAGGGCTGATTTGACTGATATGCATTTTCGGCCCTAGGGCTGATCAGTATGACTGATATGCATTTTCGGCCCTAGGGCTGATCAGTATGACTGATATGCATTTTCGGCCCTAGGGCTGATTTGACTGATATGCATTTTCGGCCCTAGGGCTGATCAGTATGTCTGATATGCATTTTTGGCCCTAGGGCTGATCAGTATGACTGATATACGTTTGCCCTAGGGCTGATTTGACTGATCTGCATTTTCGGCCCTAGGGCTGATTTGACTGATATGCATTTTTTGGCCCTAGGGCTGATATGACTGCTATGCATTTTCGACCCTAGGGCTGATTTGGCTGACGTGCTTTTTCGGCCCTAGGGCTGATATGGCTGATTTGCATTTTCTAGGGCTGTAACGAGGCATCGAACTATCGATGGATTGCAATTGTGGAGTCTTCGATAACAATTAATCGATGGTAGAAACGAAAAACTATCGATGCATCGATAGTATGTGTGACTATCGATTGTTTAGTAATTGACTTCCGTTGATAAATGCGCAGCGCAAAATACAGGAAATACCACATTCGTTCACGTTGATTTTGAGTTATCCGCCCCTCTTACCTCTTAAACAAACATGACCGTTTATTTGATCTGCATTTCAAATTTCTTGTCAGTTATTAAAAGAGACTGAAACTACTTCAACTTGTTTTTTTTTTATACGCATTCTATACAACTATACAGTCACTTGGTAAATGACTTCAAAATGAGAAAATTCAAGGAGAAAAAAATATTGCAATAGTATTGGCTGATATGACTGATATGACTGCCATGTGGTTTCGGCCCAAGGGCTGATATGATTGATATGATTTTCAGGCCTATGGCTGATATGACTGATATGGATTTTCGGCCCTCGGGCTGATATGGCTGATATGCATTTTCGGCCCGAGTGGTCAATATGCACATGTGCATACAGCCAGTATTGTATCTGAAAAATGGTCCTTTCTTTGATATGTATCTGATAAAGTGTCTCATAACATACCTCAGTGACTTCAACAATGGCGGAGATAGTGTCCTTATAAGAACCACTGCACCTATTACTTGCCTGGATTTAGATTTGCTCCTGGATACAACACATGAAGTAAATCCTGGAATATATTTAACTCGTATGATTTCTCAATCCAACATTCACTTAGATATATTATATCATAACCGAGAAGAAAGTTTTGAAACGTACATCTGTCCATTTTGACAGGAACCTTCCAGTAATGTTCCAAGATACAATTTTCAAGTTGTTTGAGAGCACATCCTCCGGAATATCCTATCTTGCTGGACGCGATCCTGCCTCTGTGTACACCTTCATGGTCACCAGTTTATTCATGTACAGTTAACCTTCTACGTACAGTTTATCGTCTATATACAGGTTACCTTCTACGTACAGTTTATCGTCTATATACAGGTTACCTTCTATATACAGTTTATCGTCTATATATAGGTTACCTTCTATGTACAGTTTACCTTCTACGTACAGTTTATCGTCTATATACAGGTTACCTTCTACGTACAGTTTATCGTCTATATACAGGTTACCTTCTATGTACAGTTTATCGTCTATATACAGTTTACCTTCTACGTACAGTTTATCGTCTATATACAGTTTACCTTCTATGTACAGTTTATCGTCTATGTACAGGTTACCTTCTATGTACAGTTTACCTTCTATGTACAGTTTACCGTCTATGAACAGTTTACCGTGTATATACAGGTTACCGTCTATGTACAGTTTACCTTCTATGTACAGTTTATCATCTATGTACAGTTTACCTTCTATGTACAGGCTACCGTCTATGTACAGTTTACCATCTATGTACAGTTTACCTTCTATGTACAGGTTACCTTCTATGTACAGTTTACCTTCTATGTACAGTTTACCTTCTATGTATAGGTTACCGTCTATGTACAGTTCTCAGCGAAAGAGTACCTTGTATTCTTCAACATTCTACTGCTCTTTCTCACCAATTCCCTCTGGGGGAATATTCTGAACTCCACAACACTTGGTCTATCCTTCCCAGAGATGCGTCTACCAACCCTGTGTGCCCTCTCTATTTCCAGTGTTTCAGTGACTTTCAACTTCTCTGCGAAAAACCTACTGCATGATAATAGTGCAGTTCACACCTTCTCCACTTTCAGATATGTTGCAAAATAACAGATTGTGTTTCATAGACGCACACTGTACATCTAACAAAACTTCTGTCAGTTTATTCATTTCGGTTGTTTCGTCCTTTGTTTTCTTCATTTCTTTAATATCTTTATCTAGCTGCGTTAAGTGTTTTGTTGTGTGCTTGTTTTCGACCCTTGTGTTGCTGAGGAATTGCTGACTACCCTCAACCTTGTCCATTCTATCTCCACACACTTCGATTTCACTTGTCAGTTCACAAACACTGTGCTCAATAATGTCCAGTTTTCGCAACCTATAAGCAATATTTTCGTCTATTCTACACATCATGTTTTGGCCTCACGTTGGGGCCTCTGTAGGTTGGGACATGGCTGTAATCAGTGTGCTAGCCAGTCGTGCCAGCTATGCCTGAAAGTTAACAGCCCACAAAATAATTCACAACTCCGAAATTAGAATGTAGACACGGGTTTCATCATTAATCTGCTAATATGATGGACATTTTTATCAGGCCATTATCTTGCATGATTTAATAGTGCGTTATACCCTAACAAGTTGGAGAGAGTGATATATTTACAAAATGACCCCATGAAAAGTCACTCGGGCCAGTAACAGTGGAGATATACTGGCCCGATTTAATTTTTACTAGCCACGGACTAGCGGGCTAGTGGCTATTTCCGACACTGGCTGTAATGCGGGTTATACTGGATATTGGGGGTGGGGGGTGGATGGTAAGTGGTTCCCCCGGGGGTCCTGGCCGTCCGAATATTGGTAGTTCTGAGAGTACATTAGAGTAGTGTTTTGTGGTAGCATGTTATAATATGATGGTGGTGGGGGAGGTATGGTATTGTCACGATGGAACGTCACATTTGACATGTGTTTCCGAAGCTTGACTGTGCATCACACATTCGTCCGCCATATTTGTTTGTAACGGCTCACTGGGCTCAGGGCTGCTGGCATTCTTCGCTTTTGTTTTCTTCTTTTTTTTCGGGGAGGTTTCACACCTGTTTCGTTCATAGTGTTCAAAACAACTACGCAGCATAATGTTCAGTTTCTCTATAATGGAGAACATATACGGCGGGCACATATCAGGCAAAACTGTCGACAGCTCATCACCGGCGTCCACCCGTACCAAGGGGATCATCCCCAAACTTATATAGCCATCAGTTGCCTGATCTTTTTTCATTCACACGAAGGAGTAAGAAAATACTCCGAAACGTCCTGTTCCTCAATATAGACACGTTATATGTCCATCAATAAATTTTCGCCATACAAAGCATCTTCAATCTTAAAAAACACGGTATTTCGCCACAGGACCGACAACTAAAAAACAAGAAATATGTCGCTAGTTCCCACATTGAAATGCCACCCTTATGAAAGACGACGAATGTAAAGGAGAAAACACTTACCTAAACATCTAAACAAGTGTAGTTTTTCCTTCCCTGTTCACTGATATCAAATCTTTGTCACCCTGACAAACTAAGTTGTGCAATGACAAAAGCAACCTACATATATACCTGTGTAGGTAGCGACGCGTGACGGTGCGCCCGGCCCCAGTTTTAGGCCATCCCATGCTTCACCCTACAAAGGCTCCAGTTGCTCGCTATGTTAGAGGGAAATGCGTGCGTGAAAAACTCTGAAAGTGTATTTTGTTAGAGAGTGCGAGCACTTGTCGTTGCCTGAAGTAGAAAAGAAGAAAGATGAGGAAATATAGTGTTCCTGAATTAAAGTTTAAAGGTAATTCTGTTCAGTGTGAATTCAACTGTGATTGTTTGATATAAAGTCTGCTGCAAACAGAAATGATAATTCTTCTTTGGGGAAAATCCACAATTCTGCTGTTATCATAAAGAGGAAACATTTCGGTAAGCTGACAATCTCCAGCTGGCTTGGCAGTGGTCAATGAGCTGGAAGGTTATGACATCGCATCTGATTCCGAAGAGAAACGCAAAATTCAGAGGGCGGAAAACAAGGCTCTCAAAAAGCGTCACCAAATACGTAGTCGCCGGTTCAATCCTATATCGTCCCAAGTCCCTTCGGGTCAGGCCAGTTTTCATCATGAATATACGCCTGATGGGATAAGGACACTAGCGAGCGTCCTGTTCAGTTGCTGCAGGTCCTCAAGGTATTAGAGGGCAGTGTGTCAAGCCGGCCGAGACGAAGTAGAGTGAAGTAGAGTCGGTACATGTGTCACCCTCACGGTTGTCGACTGTGGTTCAAGGGGCCCCGCCAGTGGTAAAGATACGATTTACAGAGCTTCTTCATGACTGATCAGATATAGCTGGTACTTGCAACAGTGAAAACGATTCAGTTTCAATGAAAGACTTTGTTCATGTTGCTAAGGCACCTGATAGCATGGGCAAGGTTCTGGTAATACATCCTTTTGGGACCATCAAAGACACAGTTTTTCAAACATAAATGTTCAGGCGTGGACACAGACAGAAAACAAGATAGCCTTCAGCAGAGATCAGTGGGACTCCAGCATTTTCCGGTATGCCTATCAAAGGAGGAAGAATGTAAAAAAAAAAACGGTACCCAGAACTTCTGAATACTGTTGAAACCGGTTGCATAATACATTACCTTTTTAATATATCTCATGTAAAAATACAATGTCTGCATATTCGTATAGTGATGAATCGGCGATTGCAGAAATGCTGCAGGATGATTGTGTAAAGAAGTATATTCGCTTCCACAAGTGCTACTGTCATTGGATCGAGAACAACATCTTCAAGATTACGGATGATGGATGTGTGTGTGGTGTCCGCGTCATCCTTCTATGTTATGTCAGGTTAGTTTTGGTGACTGTGTTCTGACATAAGTGCTCAATGTAAAGGCTTTTGATTACGTTGTTAGATAACATTATCTAAAAACGAAATAAAGTCTATCAAAACCAAAAACAATATTTCATAAATGGGCAAAGTAAATACCAAAATTAAAATTCTAAGCTACAATATCTTCAACCCCAAAAACCAACAAAAAAAACCCCTAAAAAACCCCTAAAAAACCCCCATAAATCTAAAAATATTGATAACCAACTCCAAACAGGACATACAAAATTACATTCTTATCTACATTAAAAAGATACCAAGCAGACAAATGCACACGAACAGAAACGTCCGAACACGTCCTACTACACTGTATATACTACCAACAACACAGAATGGTGCTCCACGGGACACAAACACACAAACACACATGCATCTAACACTACAAACACCCCTTAGCCCACTAAATAACACCAAAAACCTTCAAAGCCTTAGTCATCAAAACCGGCCTTCCAGTTCGCATATAATTCCACATAAACCAACTAGTGCTAACTTTAAAAAATACCAAAACATAAAAACAAGCAAAACAAGTACCAACCAAACCATCCCGTAGCTCATCCGCCATCACTTCCGATTTCATAGTTCATACAAATGTAACCATGCAACCCTAAAGTGGCCTTCACACGGCAAACTAAAGTTTGACAGCCCATGTTGTTAAAATTTTAAAAGTTGTCAAACTCGCGTTTTCTACACGTCAAACACATGTTGTCAAACATTCGTGTCATTTGAGCGTCATGCCTCTATCGGTGCGATCCCGTGACAATTTCTTTCTGATTGGTTGTTTCTGAACAAGAGTTTGACAACACTTCACACGCCAAACAAGAGTTTGACAACACTTCACACGCCAAACAAGAGTTTGACAACACTTCACACGTCAAACAAGAGTTTGACAACACTTCACACGTCAAACAAGAGTTTGACAACACTTCACACGTCAAACAAGAGTTGCACACCCGTGTGACAGGACTCACGCGCGCTGCACACCAGTGTGACACAGGACTCACACGCTCTGCACACCCGTGTGACAGGACTCACGTGCGCTGCACACCCGTGTGACACGACTCACACGCGCTGCACACCCGTGTGACACGACTCACACGCTTTTAGGCAATAGTGTAGATCGCGTGATGCATGGTAGATTATTGTTCAGGTATGTGGTTTGGAGGTAACTGACTGTAAGAAATAATTATACTCATCTTTTGTATTACAATACTACATATTTTAAATAGGTTGTTCTATATTAATGAATAGAATAAACTATGCTTCCATATAAAGTTTAATGTAAACAATTTAGCCAATGCATCTGGGGATTTTCAATTTGAACGTGCATGTTTATGTCCAACAATTAAACTCGATCATTGCACGCTTGTTAGGAGCATCTCTCTCTCTCTCTCTCTCTCTCTCTCTCTCTCTCTCTCTCTCTCTCTCTCTCTCTCTCTCTCTCTCTCTCTCTCTCTCTCTCTCTCTCTCTCTCTCTCACACACACACGCGCGCGCGCATGCACGCACGCACACTCGCATGCACGCACGCACACTCTCTCACACAAACAAACACTCACAAAAAAAGAAAAAAGAAACACACACAAACACAAACAAACACACACAAACACAAACAAACACACACAAATACACTTGTTTTTGTGTGAACACTAGAGAGTCATTGTCTGGCAATCAGATGCTCACAGAGACAGTTTTGTTTAACTGTAAAGAATGCTAACCGAAAGCCACAGCTTGCTGGAAAACTTGTACTCTGCAAACAGGCAACTAAGGTTGACACAATGACAGTCATTTCATTGTTCACCGAAACACAATGTTCTAGAAGCCAACGGTAAACCAGCTACAAGCAGCAAGACCTTCTACAAGACCGTCATCTACCACATTGACTCGTACGTAGTTGAAACGTCCCGCCCCTTAAACATGAGAATCAAGGAACATCAGACGTCTGTGAAGAAAAAAGACTTTTAAATAAGACAGCCATTTCCAACCACATCCAAGTCCAATCCGAATCTACCATTCTTTGGAACAACATCAACATTCTTGCCAACCTGGCCAGACTACAAAATAAGAAAACTCTTAGAGACAATCAGTATCAAACGACACAACCCCACAATCAAACGAGATAAAGATTATTACATTACTACAGTCTAATCAAGGCCAATCAAGAATAACCCTTCCCTACCCTTTGTCCATCTGGCTTCATTCATAGTCACCATCTGTAATCACAACAACCTTAATGTCACCACACTGTACATCAGTCGCTTCAAATGTATAGATTCAAATACCATTCATATAATATCCTTCTGCATAATGATGTGTGTAACTTGCTTGATAACGGTGATAGTATCTACACGTCGCATGTATTGCAAAAAAGAAATGTCTTAAACAAGAAACGTTCCTCTTCACAACAATATATGTTGGAGAGGTTATCTATTTCAGGATAACACTGATGACATGCAACCGACCGGTGTTGCACGATCAGGTCACTCCCACTCCCACATATCCCTCGGGAGTCATTCCTGGGTGGGATAAAATCCATCAAGAGTGATTTCATCCTAGATTCAAATGACCCCCATTGATCATACTACTTCGCAGTTTACGGATGAAACCACAGCACAGGATAATTCACTTCTCAATGCTTTCTGCATAATGTATTGCAGTGTATAGTTCAATAATATTGTATTATATAGTTCTATTTACTGTTATATCGTCGCCTCTACTGGCATAAACATATCATTTCTATTTCACCATTTGGGTTCTTCAGAAAGGAATTCACAGAGTTGAAAATAAGGAAAGGATAGTTTGCCCCTTCTAGTTTTCGATCTAACATTTCTAAGCTGCTGAGATTTGAATTTGTTGACAAAGAACATTAGTTCTACTCCAGTTGGTTCTAAACATACTTTTGGATTTGTGTCGGAGGATTCTAGCAGATATTGCCTCAAAAGAGATCATATCAGGGGCAGACAGTGGTAGAGAGGCACATCACAACAAAGGTAGGTTGCAGATTGTCTTGTCGTTAGCCAAAGGCAAATATAGACAGACAACAGTACATGGGCACATCACAAAGGTAGGTTGCAGATTGTCTTGTTGTTAGCCAAAGGCAAATATAGACAGACAGCAGTACATGGGCACATCACAAAGTTAGGTTGCAGATTGTCTTGTTGTTAGCCAAAGGCAAATACAGACAGACAGCGGTACAGGGGCACATCAACACAAAGTTAGGTTGCAGATCGTCAAGCTGTTAGCCAAAGACAAATATAGACAGACAGCGGTACAGGGGCACATCAACATCAACAAAGTTAGGTTGCAGATCGTCAAGCTGTTAGCCAAAGACACATACAGCAATTATGCTCATAACAACTCTGGATATTCTAGTACAGATATGTATTTTGTCGGAGAGAGGAATAGACCAAAATGTTGTGTTTGCGACTGACGTTAAAATTGTGACATCAATATGTCTTATAAATACACGTATTGTTCTGTCTACTCTTGATTAGCAATCGCAATATATATATGTATTTATCATAGGAGGAAAATATATTTCGTCAACATGTGAATGCCACTCTTATCCACGCCATTCACAAACGGTCGAGTGGTGACACCAATAATTACTATTTTGTACACCGTGATATATTTCAAAAATAGTTATGTATATTTTTTACATTTATGTTCTGGGGA